ACTGTATATGTGAAATCTTCTTACTGTCACAAAAATAGAAATAAAATACGTCAAGGTTGGTCAAAACAAAAGGCTTAAGGATTATATATTATTTTCTTCTTTATTCACAGACTATTGGGGGAAAGGACAGAGGGGGATCCACATACTTTCATTAATTCCCAAATGTCTTCTTAATTTAGCATGGATTATGGAAGAAACAGCTCCTGTCATTACCATTTCAATAGTCAGTAATGAATTCAAGTATTACAAATTTCACCAATTAATTCACTTCCTTAAAACTGTCTTTAACAACTTAAATATTAACAAGTACATTTACTTTGTACATATAATAAATAATATTTATTCTAGGTGGAATGAAAGGATGATTGCCAGCTTCAACTTCTACGGGCAAATCACAGTACTAAATTCTAATACAGGTATGAAATAGATTAAGAGATGGCACATGGCCTACTGTAAGTCATTAAATGACTACCTTCAGGGCTGGAGAAAGAGGGTAGGGAAATGAGAAAGAAGAGAATGTTTCAAGAAGTAAAATAAAAGTTAGATTCAAAAAGCTGAATAGGATCCAAGAGATGGGCAAGTTACAGAAATAGGATAAGGCAATCAGGAATAACTTTTAGCACTAACAAAACTAACAAAGGGAAAAATCAGGCTGTACAGGCAGATACATGACAGACAAAACTGAGACAGCTGAACTCTCCTATAAGGTTTCCTAGGCTATAAATTTTACAGCAATAGACAGCCATATCTTAAACCTCTAACCTTTCGTTAAACAGCAGAGTGCTTAACCACTGTGCCACCAATGAGTTCCCTCAATTCTCTCTGAACACTCATCTTGATTTCTACTGCTACATCAATTTCAATACACTCCTAACGGTTTTCCACTGACCAGCCATCACCAAACACAGTAACAGAACCTACTAGGTACCAAGCTTGATGCTAAAGCTATGAAATTTGGCAAGATGACTTCAGCCCTGGCCTTAAAGCATTAGTAGACTAGAGATAGAGACCACCTTGTCAATAAACATTTATAAATACAATGTAAATATCAAAATGAAGAAATACCAAAACAGAGGCATGCACTCAGCCCTACGGAAGCATGTATTAAAAAAAGCACTACCTGGCAAAGTTAAGAATATAAAGTAGACAGACATTAGCTAAAGAAAAGTTTTCAAACATGCAGACATTTTATTTTTAGGGTATCAAGTTCATTTAAGTTCTTAACTTAAATAACCACTTACTGCCCTTTGTTGAATTGCATCTTAAGCAGAACTGTATTTGAAGAAGTACTTCCTGTGAATCTCTCAAGGTCTTCCCTCATGACCTCAACACACAAATATCCCTGATCAATATTCACCTTTCTATCCTCCCTCCTCTCCCACAACTTGGTCTTATTTGGCATTTATTAAAATTATAAATATATATGTGACTAAAAAGTGCCTTCCAAATTTTGAGGAGCTTATAAAAGGAAGGTATGGGGATGATTATTCGGTCTATCTTCAGGCCCCTTATTAGTACTTTTTTAACCCCCACTGTGACTTATAGAGCAGGTGTTCAACGAGTATCTGATTTGATTTAAAAAATCTCTGGTGACATTAAGAATTACAGATTACTTTAAGTGTATCGTAACATCTAAATTAAAAGCAATTTTTCAGAATTACAGTGTCTACATGAAGAAGAGGAGCTCTGGTAGAACAGTGGCTAAGGCACTTGACTGCTAACCAGAAGGCTGGTGGTTCAAACCCACCAGCCACTCCTCGGAAGGAAGATGGGGCAATCTACTTCCGTAGTGATACTGCCTCGGAAACCCAAGGAGGGGTCGCTATGAGTCGGGGCCAACTCGACAGCACATAACAACAACAACAACAACAACATGAAGAAGTAGTAGAGCTAGTGGATAATCATGGACATCAAAGACAAACTGCATGACACATGAGTTTGCAACTTAATTAGCTGTGTGACCACCTTCAGCAAGCTATTTAATTTCTCAGTGTCTCAATTTTCTCAACTATAAAATGAAGATAAAGTATTACCTACCTTCTAGATCACAGTGAGAATAAATAAGTTATTATAATGTAAAGTGCTTAGACCAGGACCCAATACTAGATAAGCATTACTCAATAGTGGTAGTAGTGATACATCCCCGGAAAACTAGGGTATTTTTTAACCAGAAATAGAAGTGATAAAACACCTTTCATCTGTGTGCCTTCCAATAGTTACGAAGTTCTTTTACAGAAAGCGTAGACTAGGATGGAAGGGGCAAGAGCATTAAGAGTTTCATTTTGGGCAGTCACATCCAGTTTTTAATATCAGCACTGCCACCCACCAGCTACTATATGACCAGACCAAGTACTAAGTAACCATGTTGTTGTTGTTGTTATGTGCTGTCAAGTCAGACCTGAATCATAGCGACCCCTCCTTGGGTTTCCCAGGCAGTATCACTACAGAAGTAGATTGCCCCATCTTCCTTCCAAGGAGTGGCTGGCGGGTTTGAACCACCAACCTTCTGGTTAGCAGTCAAGTGCCATAGGCACTACGCTACCAGAGCTCCCATAGGCAAATTATTTCACCTGATCCCCAGGTTGCTCATCTGTAAAGTGCAATCACACCACCTATATCCCAGGAATGTTGTGAAAACGAAAGGAGTTAAGGTACTTGAAGCAAGGACAGAGCCTAGCATGTGGTCAAGCTAACATTTGTCCCTTCCCTCTCCCTCCTACCCATGTCCCACAAGGAGTGTCTCATTTAATCCTCAGCTCACCATTACTAAATTCATATTAGGTTGAACCATATGAAAAACAGCTGAATACACCAATGTCACACAGTTTGACCTCACACTATTCCCACTTACAAACAGAGAAAATAAGTCAGAAGACTTATTCAAAGTCATATACATGGTAAATGATGGAGTTATAATTTACAGATCCAGTAATCTGTCATTTGGCTGGCTGGCATTTGTTCAGTGAATCTAACTCAGGAGAGAAATAAAGAATGTACACTAACTACCATTATACATGTAAAACTACTGCAATGTTTGGTTCTGCCATATTGAAAAATAAGGGAGTAAACTAGATTTCTAATTTGCAATTTAAAATTTACTTGAGTGTTAGGGATTGAGGGCTTAGGAAAAATTTAAAGAAGGGAATGTTTTAGTAAAAGAAGCATTTGCATAACTACACTAATTCCAAAAATACAACTGGATCTAATTAAAACACAAAGCAACTAATAAAACATCAAATACCCATTCTTGGTGGAAGATTAGAGCTATTCAATACCACAGATTAGTTGTTTGCCAAACACACAAGGAAGAGTTACAAAAATGCATCTATCCACTTTGTCTCACAGGCATACACTAATATACATTACTGTCATGGGAAAAAAAAAATTTAAGGCTTTTCTTCTAAGAGTAAGAAGTACACTACTGTAGTAAAACTGCTAAGTTTTTTCTATAAATTCCACAAGGGCTTTAGAGTGGCATCACATAAACCACTGAGAATACAGTATTTATCCAAATATTTAATGTCCCTATCAAAGTGCACAGTACTAAATAAACAACAAATGTTACCTGAACAAGGCCCCATAAACTGGTGGAATGTTTAATAGTATAAATTATTTATTACGATTGGTCTCCCAATCTATTCTTCTTTTCTCCTTGATTTGCCACTTAATATTTAAAAACAAAAACAAAACTACATGAGCAACAAAATAAGAATGAAAAGAACAGAAACTTTCAGTAGATTTACAATAAAACAGCTTGTTTTAATCCTCTTATAGGTTTCTTCTCCAATTATGTAATCATTCCATGGCAAAAGATACATGGCACTTTTCCAACACTGAAAGGAAGGAGTTGAGGGAAAATGGAAGAATTTGAAACAGGTAGCCTCAGCAGATGCTATATTTCCACGAAACTGAATTGTCTGTCCCTCAGGATCAGTATTAACTCAGCGCTCTTAATTTTCAAGGCTTCATCCTTTAGACACGAGCTTTGGTTGTTCTGCTGCTGGGTTGTTTTCCGGGGAGAGGGGGGACAACTTTTCACATTCTGCAGCCTCGACCTAACATCACTCCTGTTGTTGTTATGTGCTGTCGAGTCGGCCCCCCGACTCATAGCGACTCCTCCGTGGGTTTCCGAGGCGGTATCACTACAGAAGTAGAAATGCCCAACCTTCCTTCCGAGGAATGGCCCACCAGCCTCCTGGTTAGCAGTCAAGTGCCTTAGGCACTATGCTACCAGAGCCCCTAGAGGCCTTTAAGCTCGCTTTCCCCCAGGCTGTAGGGGCAAACTGTCAAACGCTAGAAGGGCAGTGTAATTACCTCTGCGCTGCTCTCAACTACTGAAACAAAAGTCAAGCTGAACTGAGCTGCCTCCTCAGGCTCGACTCCCGGCGCTCGCTCTTTCCAACCAGTTTTCACTGAAACCTCCCGCGGTGACCTCTGCGCCTCGGCATCGTGCCTGGAGCGTCGTTTACTAAGACTTGAGTATGAAAGAGCCCAGGTCCACAGCTACCGCTTCATTCCGCAATAGCTTCTGCGCGGAGCCCCGGGCTGCGACGTGCTTCAGACTTGTTCGGGAACTCTCTTTACAACCCCCTACCCACCCTGGTGACCCCGCGCCCACATATCCGGGCCCCACTCGCCCGCCGACAGGTAACTGGACTGTAGGCTCACCCGGGACCGCGCAGTTAATGAGTAACGCGCCCAACCCAGGGGACGGAGGTGGCGACTGCGAGGCGCTGGGGCCGGGCCGACGCCGCCCGACGCCCACTACCGACCCCCAGGGGCTGCCTAGTTCCACAGAGCCGCGGGGGTTTCGGAGAGAAGCTGGGGAGCCCGCCAGCAGAGCAGCCGCGACCCTGCGCCGTGCCCTCCGCCGCACAAGCACCAGGCAGCTGCTGCCCCTCCCGGCCCGCTCGCGGGAGGCGGGCTCGCGGGCGCTCACTGAGGGGGGCGGTGCTCCGACGCCCGCGCCCCTGGCCTCTCCTTCTCGCGGCCGCACTCACCTGACGAACCCACCGCGGCCGCTGCCCGCACTCAGAGACGCTCGCAAAGCCGCAGAGAGCGCACGCCGAAGCAGCAAAAAGCGGAGGAAGACAGCGGAGCAACCCCACTACTCTCCGCCGGAGCGGGCGCACTGCGTTGGGAGCCGGCGCGGGAACGCGAGACTGCGCCTGCGCTGGGAGCGAGCTCGGGAGCGGTCAGTCCCCGCGGAGGGAAGGCGGGGCTGGGGGCGGGGCAGAGCAGGGCGAGGCCGGCGTGGAGTTGAAGGGACGGACGCCCTTCCGCGCCCCCTGGCGCCAGGCGGGGCTTGTCGCAGATGCCGCTCGGGCCCCAGGTGCCTCCGCGGGCGGTTTCCTTAGGAACCTCCGCGAATCCGCGCTGAGCTGTGTTTCCAGTGGCCAGGGAAGGCTGCCTCGGATTAGCTTCGAGGGTGTGGGGCTCTCCAGTAATCGGAAAAGAAACCTTCACTATGAGTTGAGGACCGCTAGAACCAACCTGAGCGGAGTGGCGCCTGTATATATATATATATATATACCTTAACGTCTGTGTAGTAGTGAGGAAGCGAGTTCTCTGGTAGAACTCAGATCCTGCCATTCTGGCAACTGTTGGAGTATTCGAGAATGTCGTTTCTGTTGTTCCTGCTTTCTTTCATCTTTTATGTCAGCTGTTTTTCAAACTTCCACACATCTAGGTCCTGCAGGTAGCAAAAGTGAAAAGACAGAACCAAGCACCCAAATTTTGACCAGAAAAATCAAGCACCATACGTGTGTTCCTCCATGTTCAATAAAAGAGATACATGCAATTTATGTCATACACTGATTGAATAGAACCGTCATTCTGTATATTGATCACATCTTTTAGAGGCAGTAAAGAGTAGATCGTGTATGACTGTTGGAATCAGAATCCCTTGGTTTGAATCCACCACTTAATAGCTCTGTGTAAGCTAATTTCTATAAGCCCCAATTTTCTCATTAAAAAAAAAAAATGGAGAAAATGATACTGCCTTGGAAACCCAAGGAGGGGTCGCTATGAGTCGGGTTTGACTCGACGGCACATAACAACAACAAGAAGGCACTTGACGGGAGCTCTGGTAGCATAGTGGCTAAGACACTTGCCTGCAAACCAGATGGCTGGCGGTTCAAACCCACCAGCCACTCCTCGGAAGCAAGGTTGGGCAATCCTACTTCCGTAGTGATACTGCCTCGGAAACCCAAGGAGGGGTCGCTATGAGTCGGGTTTGACTCGACGGCACATAACAACAACAACAACAAGGCACTTGACTGCTTAACCAGAAGGCTGGCGGTTCAAACCCACAAGCCACTCCTCAGAAGGAAGGTTGGGCAATCTACTTCCCTAGTGATACCCCCTTGGAAACCCAAGGAGGGGTCGCTATGAGTTGGGTCCAACTTGACGGCGACAACAACAACAACCTAACTGGGCCATTGAGAAAGCAAATGATTTCAAACTTAATGCATGACTCATAAGGAGCCCTGGTGGCATGGTGGTTAAGCTCTTTGCTCCTAACCGAAAGACCAGGGGTAACGGAACTCACCAGCTGCTCTGTGGAAGAAATGCGGCAACCTGTTTCAGTCAAGATTACAGCCCTGGAAACTCTATGGGGGCAGTTCTCTCCTACAGAGTCTCTATGAGTTGGAATCAACTGGATGTTAGTGGGTTAATTAGACTGAGCTTCTTGAGAACATGATAAAACCTGAGAGGCCTGGCTCAATAAATGTAGTATGAGTGAATGGCATGCATTTAGGGGACATGTTTTACATAAGACCTATGGCATCGTGGGTCTACAGGAACTAGCAGGTAATAATTACATTCCTACATCCTGGGTTGGTTCATTTGCAAATCATCTGCCATCCACATGGCTGTTTGGAATGTACTTAGAGGTGTTTCCTCTCACATACTTAACCTGTTATCACAGTTCGAGAAGAAGAACTATGTGAGTAGTTCCTATCATAATACATCAGTATCCTTGGAATACAGAGACCAAGATGTAAGGCATTCAGAAGCTCAGGTTACGCAATGTGTAAAGTGTAGTAAGCATTCTAAGTTAGATTGCCTACCCATATATTAAAGGGACAGCCACTAAATACACTTTGAAAACATAGCAGTATGCTTGAATTTGTTTTCCCTTTCACTAAAAAATAAATCATACAATGTTAAATACAGTATATAAAATAGTATTGATTTAAAAAAAAATCATAAGACTTTCTCATCCATACCTGGGGCCGGAAAACAAATTATATAAGTACAAAGATTTAGAACTTGTAAAACTGAACAAATCATTCTCAGGTTGTTATCCTTAGTTATAAAAGTTTGTCTCTGTTTTGTTTTCAAAGTTAAGAATATGTATATTTGGATGGTACTTTTCACTTTCAAACTGACTTTGTATTAATAATCTCATATGTTCCATACAAGAAACAATTTAATGTAGGTAAGACAGCTATTTTTCATCTTTACAGATGGTAGCTTAGAACCCCAGAGTTAGTGCCCTTAGTGCCCTGGTCTTCAGAATGCTAGGTAATACCTTACAAACGAACTTAAAATTCTTTAAAGAGCAATTTGGACTCCTGTGCCTAGCAATTTGGAGCCACCCTGTCTGACTCTCCCACCAAAGGCAACTCAAAAGTTCTGGATAAAATATATAAAATATCTAATACATAAGTGAACAACAAGAACATATGAAACCCTCAAAGGCAAAAACTAGGTGAAAGCAGGAACTCAGTAAGTAATAACAATGAGAAAATGGGAGGGAAAAAAAAAAGCTGGTTACAGGGAAAAATGTACAAAAATAATCTGTCATTTCCTTGTGTAGCAGAATGGTTACTTGTGGACCAGTGCTTGGACTCCTATAAAAACTTGCTTCTCCAACTCCTGCACAAAAGGAGACCCATTTCTAAAGTATCTTGCATTGATCAATCATGGCCAATTCCACATCTGAGCCTCCTTTTCTGATTTTGGAATGAGCAACTGGAAAAAGAAAGAAAGAAAAAAAAAAAAGGGGGCAAGGGAAGGGGGTGCTAAGAGAATTAATAGAAGAGCTTAGCTTCCAAAAGTTATGTTGTTGCTTTTGTGTGCTGTCAAATCAATTCTGACTCGCAGAGACCCTGCAGCACAGAGTATAATTGCCCCATAGGATTTCCTAGACTGAAATCTTTATGGGAACAGATCACCAGATCTTTTCTCCCACGGAGCAGCTGGTAGGTTTGAAATGCCAACCTTTCGGTTAGCTGTAGAGTACTTAACCATTGAGCCACCAGGGCTCTTTCTAAAATAGTATAGTTCCCTCCAAAAGAGTCACTTTAATAAACTAAACCAAAATCAAACCTGTTGCCACATAGAGTTGATTCCAACTCATGGCTACGCCATGTGTTTATAGAGCTAAACTGCCCCGAAGGGTTTTCTTGGCCATAATTTTATGGAAGCAAATCAGTAAGCCTTTCTTCCATGATGCTGCTAGGTGAGTTTGTACTGCTAACCTTTAGTTTAATAGATTAGTGCAGACCATTTGCACAGCTACACACATGTAAGGAAATGTTTCGGGAATTGGCTTTCGAGCCAGTTTATTTTACACATGCACACATACACACACAAATTGTCATCCATTTAAGCAAATATTTATTTACTGCTTGTCTATGCCAGGCACGTAAATAATCTACAGCACGAGGGAAGAGGAGAATAGATGAGACACAATAAGACTCCCTGGTTTCCCCACAGTGTTTCAGTCCCAGATTCTGGTCTATTCCTAAGAGTTAATTACGTCCCTGACCATGGTTCTGTGCATCCTTGTTGTTGTTGTTGTTGTTGTTGTTGTTGTTGTT